TGGAAGTGCAAAATGCACATTAAGTCTCTTTCAGGTCTGGAAACTCTGAGATTACACAATTTCACCAGGCAGGCATAATGTGAGGAAGCTCAGTTTAAATTTTTTCTTATTCTGCTAATGAAAAAATTGAATGATTCTGTGGATTTAAGGATTAATGACTTTAATTCTTCAGATTTAACGAGAGATCTGCTGGCTGAGGCTCTAGTTAAACTGTCTCATGCAGATTTTTATTGTGCCTTGGACATGTTGAAAATCTGATCAATGTGATTCAATGGGGAAAGGCAGGAGCTTTCACCATGTTGTTTTGATATGTTCCTTCAACAAGGTTATAAACACACAAAGGCCAATTAAGCCTTCAAATGCCCATTTCTTTCACTGCCTTGAAATCCAGACAAGCTGCTGTGTTAACATTTCTTCAGGGAAATGGTTGAACTCTGTATTCTGAAGGCCCTTATTGCTGTCAAACAGGTCAACAAAGGATGCAAGGAAAGAGGCAAAAGGAAAAGAGCAACATGCTGCTTTTTCTGGTGACATGTAACTGCACATGTCCCTGGGCAATACTGCCTGGATACCACAGTCAACCTCCCTGTGCTGGTTTTGGCTGGGATAGAGTTAATTTTCTCCACAGTAGGTTGTATGCAGCTATGTTTTGGGTTTGTGTGGAAACACTTGATAACAGGGATCTTTTTGTTTCTGCTGAGCAGTGCTTACACAGAGTTGAGACCTTTTCTGCTTCCCAGGACACCCCACCAGTGAGCGGACTGGGGGTGCACAAGGAGCTGGGTGGGGATGCAGCCGGGACAGCTGCCCCCAGCTGACCCCAGGGATATCCCACACTGTGTGATTTCATGCTCAGCATATCAGGGTGTGGAACGAAGGAGGAAGGGTGGGATGTTCAGAGCGATGGCATTTGTTTTCCCAAGTCACTGCTGTGCGTGACAGAGCTCTGCTCTCCTCGAGGTGGCTGAACACCTGCTTGCCCATGGGAAGCGCTGAATGAGTTCCTTGTTTTGCTCTGCTTGTGTGCAAAGCTTTTGCTTTACCTATTAAACTGTCTTTATCTCAACCCATGTGTTTTCCCTTCTGATTCTCTCTCCCATCCCACTGTGGAAGACTGAGGGAGCAGCTGTTGGTGCTCAGTCGTTGACTGTGGTTAGATCATGACACGCCATCGTGAAAAGAAGCGCAGTATGGCAGGGATGGCCAGACGTGACTTCCTGTGTATACAAATACCACAATCTAATTATGCTTTCAGTTAACAAGCAAAGGGACACTTGGGGCATAACCTTAAAGCTCTTTTTTTTCCTGGCCACTTTTCTACGTTTCCAAACAATGAACTGAGCTTTTGCAAACTGAATATTGAGGACTAATCTTGAGTTTCTGTCTCTTACTGATGCTTTCTTAATTGTATGTTTTCCAGAGTAGGAGTTGGCCCTTAATCTTACCTGTCTCTTGATCTTGTACTACAGCCTTTTCAGAATCCCAAATTCAGACTTGTCATCTATTTTGAAGGCAGTTTGGGTCAATTCTTCATTTGATTTTGCTCTGGTGGCCCAAAAGCTAGGCCAATAAAGAGCCAACAAGGCATTTTTTCAGGAGTCTGCTTTGTGGGCTTTTATGCTCCTGTCTGCCTTCAGGCGGCATTTCCTTCACAGGGATGGCAAATGAATGCTATGTCTGCTTGCCTCCCTGGTGACCCCAGCTTTTAGTAGTCCCTCACTCAGCACATGGGCTTTTTCCCATGCTTGGTTCCCATAGCTGTGAATTTAGAGATTGGGATCTGGAGCATCTAAGCCTTGTCCCAGGCTCTCTGGGAAGGCCTATCAAACTCATCCTTATTTACTAAATTGTGTCATTCAAAGGGAGCATTACAGATACTTTGAACTTGGAGACAAATTGCAGGAGACAGCTGTTCATATCTGTGTAGATGTTTTATGTGCTTTTTAACAAGGCACTTGAATCCTCTACAAATAAACAAATATCTTTTTTTACCAGTGCTTTAACCCTTATCCTGCATGAGGAATTAATTTTAAAAGCTTTACTTTTTTTTTTTGCTTATATTGACTTTTTATAACTCCCACTGGTAGAGCAACTCTTCACAAAACCTGACAGACTAAAATAGTTTGAGTAAAATTCCAAACAACCAGTTTTCCTGAAGAACATTATGCTGAAAGCCCCCGCCATTTTTTTGTTTAGAAGTTATCTTGCAGAATACAAATCATTATCAATTTCCCAGGATTACAATATTGAGTCTTTGACTTACTCAGAGCATTTCTTTTGCCTTGAGGAAGAGACTAAGTCTAGAGGTAAAGTCACTACCACAACAGCAAGGAATGAATGGAAAACAGCTGCATTTGGCAACACACCGGATCATGTTCCAGTTAGGTTTTTGAGCACTTCACAGAAGCCATTCAGTCTTCAATGAGTTCAGCATTCAGAAAGATATCTGCCAACCTTCAAGCACTTTTACAGAAACCTGTATGGCAGCAGAGAACATGATAGAAATCCTTACCATTCTTAGTTCTGTAGAAGTCTGTGTGCTCAGTCAGAACACATAAAGGTTTCTTGTAACAGCAGTGTCAATTTTCTTTACCAAGAGTTCAGCTCCAACTCCAGGTGAATCACAGGGCAAAAATATTAATTTCCTCCATCAGCCTTCCCAGTGGCAATTTTTCTCTTTGGAAGGGTATTCTACAAGTACTGATTAATTTGAAGAACACCAATACTCTTAGGATTAAGCAACCCAGATCAGACTAGGTGCTGATTAATCTAATATAGAAACCTTAGAAGTAATGAATTTGTCGGGAGGGTATTTTTTAAATACTAGATATAAATAAAATTCTCTACTGACTTACCTAGGTTTGTTGGAACAAAGGAATTTATAACAGCCTCTTTAGGTATGTTATCTAAAAACATCAATTTTGATCAATTTGGGAAATGAAACAAACAAATACATCAAGACTAACCCTAGGTTATTTCTGTCTGATGCAGTAATATACAATAAAAATTATTATCAGTATCATGCTTAACATTGCATGTAATCACAAAGTACAGCCTTGTGCAATGATATTCAGGCAACTTTCCAGCCCTTTGCTCTGGAAACTTTATTATAAATGCTGTTCAGAGGAACAAAGAATATGTTGGAAAAGGAGTATTTCTGAGTTGATGTGGGTTTCACAAATTCTCAGCATCCTGAACTAATACAGCCACGTTTGTCTTATTGTCTGGCTGCTAAAAATATGTCTCTCTCAAACCTGAATATCATCTCTTCTGTTAATGGATGACATACCCAGCCGTGAATAGAGCTTTATGATCCTCACATAGTTTGCACAGCAGAAAATCTGTGAGCAGAGTTTCCTGAGTAACACTGTTCATTTACGTAACATTCAACTCCTGTAAAGCATGTCAGAGACTGGCAAGGAGTGTGAAAGAAGCCTTGGTAGTGGTGTGGTGTTGTGAGATTTGTGATAAGCAGCTTTAATTTCCCCTATCTGACCTGAAACCTGTGGTCACACACACCAGTTTCCCAGGTCTAACACAATAAATAGGCATTAAGCTGTGAATAATGCATTGAACTGTTTGTAAAAATCAGGTTTTGGAACAAAAGCATATTTAAAGAAACAAGTTTGCCAGAAACTAAGGATATCCACATTTATTGTGTGTATTTCCAGGTTTTGGGAGGGTTTGCAGTTTTAACTGGAAAACTCCAGACAACTATTTGCAGTGTAGGAGCAGGTGTCCTCCTAAACTCCTGCTACTGATCCCCAAGCAAAGGAAGGGTAGTGACAGACTGGAGTGGGTGCACATATCCTCTCAGGAGCTAAAAAGCCCAGAAAGTGGCAAAAAGCCTGGGATAAAGCCTTGCACAAAGATAACATGTTCAGAAGCTTATCATGTATTTTAAACTTCAAAACTCTTCTGGAGTAAAAAATTTTGAAAATATATTTTTAATTAAAGAAACAAGACCTAATCTTTCATGCTTTTCCATTTTTTCTTCTCCCTGTAAAATCACATATTTTTTGTAACTGAATTTAACTGTAGTCATCTATGAGGAGACATAGGGAGTTTTATTAAAAACACAGATAGGGCTGGTATCTAACACAGTATTTCTTTGTTGTGATCTTATGCGTTTTTGTGTGGCTGAAGGAAGGAGTTTCTAAATGAAAGGTCAAATTCAGGTACCAGTGAAGAAATCAGGAGATAATCCACACTCATGACAATGGGACCAACATTTTCACCAAGTCCGTTCATTCTACCAAGAGCAAGAACACTCTTCATCTAAACCGTGTTTAAAACAAAAATTTTAATGGCCCACTGCCAGAAACTCTCCAGTTAATGTGGAGATTTTGCTTGTACTTGCAGAAACGTGTGGTTTAGACCTATGCTAAGTCTTGGATGACATTTATTGTCCGAGACGAAGTCCTGAAACATTCGGAGACATTAGGTTGTTTTGAAACTCTGCATTATTTTTTCTAATAATTTACATATCTGGGGTTGACCCCAGTGAAATGCCATAGGCCCAGGCGAACTCTCTCAGGACCTGCACCTCTTACCGACAAGTCACTTTGCCTTGGCTCGAAGGCAGATCGGGATGTGCAGGCTGATGCTGACAGACCTCCATTGGCTCTGCAGGAGCAATTTTACTCGCAATTATAAGTGCTGCTATACCTGTCCGTGAGGGAGCTCTCCGGCAGCACCGTTCCGAGCCGAGCAGCCCTTCCCGCCGCCGGTGCCCGCTGCCCGTCGGGGCGGCGCGTTCGGGGCGGAGCGGCCCCGCTCCCGCGGCGGGGCGAGCGGGCGGCGGGCCCGGGGGAAGGAGGGGGCTGGCGTCAGGCGCCGGGCAGCCACTGGCACGGGAGCTCCCGCTCGCCTCGCCTCGCCTCCCGCGGCCGGGGGGATAAAGGCACCTGGCGCGGCGCTCCGGGCCGCCGGAGGGGGAAAGGCGGGCGAGCGGAGGTGCGGGGGTCGGGCCGGGCCGGGCCCCACGCGCAGCCCCCTCCATGCGCCTCGCCGGCGGCGCCGGCTCCCCCCGGGCTGTGCCCTTACCCGGGAATGGCAGCCGGTGGCGGGCGGCGGAGCCGGGCGGCGGCAGCAGCCCCAGTCCCGAGGCGTGGTCGGGGTCGCCGAACGGCAGCTTGGGCGGCTGGGATCCCTTCGGGCGGGACGAGGAGCTGGCGAAGCTGGAGATCGCGGTGCTGGCCGTCACCTTCGCGGTGGCGGTGGTGGGGAACGGCAGCGTGCTGCTGGCCCTGCGGCGCACGCCGCGCAAGGCGTCCCGCATGCACCTCTTCATCCGCCACCTCAGCCTGGCCGACCTGGTGGTGGCCTTCTTCCAGGTGCTGCCCCAGCTCTGCTGGGAGGTGACCCACCGCTTCCACGGCCCCGACGGGCTCTGCCGCGTCGTCAAGCACCTGCAGGTCTTCGGCATGTTCGCCTCGGCGTACATGCTGGTGGCCATGACCGCAGACCGCTACATCGCCGTCTGCCACCCGCTGAAGACGCTGCAGCAGCCCACCAAGCGCTCGTACGGGATGATCGCGGCGGCCTGGGCGCTCAGCCTGCTGCTCAGCACTCCGCAGTACTTCATCTTCTCCCTCAGCGAAGTGGAGCGCGGCTCGCAAGTCTACGACTGCTGGGCGCACTTCATCATGCCCTGGGGGCCCCGCGCCTACATCACTTGGATCACCGGCGGCATCTTCATCGCGCCTGTCCTCATCCTCATCGTCTGCTACGGCTTCATCTGCTACCGCATCTGGCGCAACGTCCGGGGCAAGACGCGCCCGGGAGAGGCGGCAGCAGCGGGTGGCGGGCGGCGGGCAGGTGATGATGGTGGCCCGCGACGGGGGCTGCTGCTCGCCCCTTGTGTCAGCAACGTCAAAACCATCTCCCGAGCCAAGATCCGCACCGTCAAGATGACCTTCGTCATCGTCTCGGTGTACGTCGTTTGCTGGGCGCCCTTCTTCACCATCCAGATGTGGTCCGTGTGGGACCAGCGCTTCCCCTGGGTCGGTAGGTGACGCGTCGCTTGCTCCGCACGCGTTGCAGGCGCAGCCGGCTGTCCCGGGGCGCTGCGCAGCGCTGAGCCGAGCGCGGGGAAACGGGGCGCGCCCTCCTGTCCTTACACCCTCCCGGCCCCGCACGGGTCCCTGTCCCGCCGGGGAGCAGCGGCTGAGCGGCCCTCTGGGGTAGAACAGACAGCCCCGAGCAGCCGCCGCCCTCGGGGCCGCGCCGCCGGCGCCGCTCGCAGTCCCGCACCTGGCGGCCCCGGGAGCGGCGGCGGCCGCGGCGCTTGGCTCGGCTCGGCTCGGCCCGGCTCGGCTCGGCTCGGCTCGGCCCGGTCCGGCTCGGCTCGGCTCGGCCTGGCCCGGCCCGGCCCGGGGGCTGCCGGAAGGGCTGCCGGCGGCAGCCGCAAAAGGAGCGGATGGAAACCGGAGTATTTGCTGCCGTAATTTGAGCCAGCAACGTTTTCGTCCGTTTGAAGATGCGGATAAGAAAACTTTAGAAATGTTTAGTATTGTTGGGAAGTATGCACACACACATGTCGGAGCAGCTACATGAAGAGAGAACTTGCTACGTCTTCTTTCCTGTAGCTGCTGTCAAATAATAGGGTTGAGCGCACCCTGAACCCTTCCTCTCAGCAAGGCAGTCACCTCTGAGTGCTCCATTAGTCAAGTCACCGATTTTCATGAATCAGTGGCACATGATATCTGTCCCACTGTTAAATATGGCTGAAAAAATTTGGTCAGTTTAAAAAGTACTACATAGGTAATGACAGGCAGCATAGTGACATATATTCTGTTTCCTCATAAGGAGAGAGCAGCAAATCAAAATGTTGGAATCCATAATTTCTTGATTTTTAAAAATATCCCCAAATGATCAGTTACTGTAGTGATAGTGTTGCTTGCCTCCAATATGGGACTAAAGTCAAGCCTATAATGCAGATCTCTATAGAGAAATAAAGACTTGCAGTAAACACATTTTTTTTACTTCAAAGGGAATTAAATCTAATTGGACAGATGGTGTGTTTGAAGAGATTCTTTAAATCTATGGAACTGCATAACACAGTAATTATACTTTTTTGAAGATTCAATACTTATAAAGAAAAATCACTAATAATTGATTAGACTAAATACATATTTAGAGTATTTGATCTAACTATTAACTAGTTATTGAAGGTAGAACACCATAGTTTTTTCATGCCATAGTGCTAAGTTCCATTTTTCCCTTAAGTAAAATTCAGATTTAATGGACAATCCAGTAGTTAGTTGAACATTCAGTACTTTTCATCATGCAAATATATACAGCAAAATTCAGTGTTACTGAAAACAGTGGAAATTTTACCATTGTCTCCCAGGGTCTGGGAAAAACCTTTTGGTATTTAAAGCAGGAGCTTATCAACACATGGATACACATCAGTGGAAATGTGACTAAATCATTATTTTGGATGGATTACCCCATAACTTATTCTGTCACAGCTTTTTGAAGTCAGTTCAGAGAAATCCTCATTGACTTCAATGGCAGCCTTACATAAATAGGACCTTTACTGATTATGTTCTCATTATCTGTTTAAAATGCTGTAGCTCAACATTTAGAACTCGAATATTCAAGGAAATAAATCCAATGGTTAATGAAGCAATTGACTGAATGGTGCAAATGTATTTTTGATGATTAAACAGCTTTCTCCCCACTCCCCAGATTCTGAAAACACTGCAACTACTGTGACGGCTCTGCTGGCCAGCCTGAACAGTTGCTGTAACCCGTGGATCTACATGTTCTTCAGTGGGCACCTCCTCCAAGACTGCCTAGGGAGCTTCCCTTGCTGCCAAAAAATTAAGCAAACGCTAAGTAAAGAAGATTCAAACAGCAATAGCAGGCGACAGACTTCTTTCACCAACAACAGAAGCCCAACCCACAGCCTGAACACATGGAGAGAGATGCCCCACTCCAAATCGACTAGCTTCATCCCCATCCCAACGTGAGACAGGCCTCAGGGCAGGCAGGGCTTGCAGTCCCGTCACAGTGCTTGGGAAGGTTGTGGCATGGCACATTATGCCAAACCAGAGCACCATCGTGCTACCAAGGAATGACTAAGATGCCATGAGACAAAAAGTGCCCCCTTGCTTGACAAGCTATGCTGCAGTATGTAAATTATTTTCTGAAAGTTTTTTAGGATTTGGGCAACTGATCAGGAAGGTGTGGCTACAATAAAGCAGTTATTTTTTTAAATAGACTTTATTTTAATTTTTGTCTGTTCCTAAAATACTAAGTGCATTGTTTGTTGCTTGCTGTTTAAAACACTCAAAGCAATGGAGTTGTCATGTATTGGGCTAACTCCACTCTCTAGTGTTGATGCATAAAACTTCTCATGATTGTCTGATGAGGTCACGGGGAAAGAAGACAATATGAGCAAGATTACAGTTTAGTCTTAAACATTACCAGAAAGGAGTTGGGAAGAAGTCTTGGCTGTCCAGATAAGGAATGGGGTTAGACAGACTCTGAGTTGCTGGAATTCAGTTGCTCATGATGCTTCATCTTGTAAAGGTCTAGCAGTTCTCAGACACTGAAATTCAACAGCCCTTGTGAAGGCAAATCTTTTAGTGCTGTCAATGTCTGTGTGTGTATTGTGGGATTTCATTTTTAGGGTGACATTTCTTCTTCCCTTGATGTTGATGGAAATTATTCAGCATATCTGTGTGTGCGTGTGTGTTGCTGCACCTACTATCAATTTTTTAAACTAACTTTAAAAATATATTGGTAAATATGATATATACGCTATGACTAGCTCAGCACTGTTACAAACAGTCACACCAAGAAAACTCATAATGAATACCAGAACCACTTGCTTTATTGGTAGGAATGCCATATTTTCTTTTTGATTCACTGAGACATCTAGGATCAAGCTACCTTGCTCGGTTGTCAAGCAAATAGCCTCGTGAGCTCAGAAGAGTGTAGTCATTTGGTAAGAGCTGTAGAACCAGTGCATTTCAAGACACAGATCTGAGAATCAAACTTACAAGTCTTCTGGGAACATATAAAAATTGTCAATGTTGTCCGCTTGTCTTTTTCTATTATTATTTTTTTGTTGGCAGCTCATGAAAATATAGTCTTAAAAATTGTCAGTAAACTGCAATACAAAGTCATCACAACACATTTGCTGATTACAAAGCATTCACGGTGTGCTTGTTCTCAATACAATGCATGCTAATTGACTGTAGTTCATTTATATGGTAAACAATCCTATTACATCTTTCCTTGGAGCCCGTCTCTTGTATTGAGGTTGGGTTTTGAAGCTCCTGGAGTAAGTTTTGCTGAGTTTTTAAGTCTTGAGGCTCTCTTTCAGAAGTACAGCTCCTTGTCTGCTCTGTTTTCCTGAGCTTGCCGGATGCTGAAATCCAGGAGCTCCCCTGGCCCCCTGCAGGACTGCAAAACTGACACAGTCCCAGCTGGCTGCTGGAGCACTGGGACACAGCGGGGCTGCACAACGTGCATGCAAGGAGGAAGCTCAGCACCAGATTTCTTTCTTTCTCACCAAAACCTAACAAACAAGATTGCTTTTCTAATTGCTTGAGGAGATTGCATGTGGCTTTCACTGAGGATGGTGCCCATGCCTGCCTCAGTAATGGTAGCAGAAATTAATAGAGTTAGGTGCAGAATAAGATCATCTTAAACCACTCCAGAAGCTCCCCATTGATTATTTTGGGCAAAGAATAGGGAATATTACAACTAAAAGAATTCTTTTTTGTCACTAAAGGAAATCTTGTTTCCATTCTCTTCTTTCCTTGTGTTTGCTGTTGTTCAGAGCACTAGAAGCCAGAGGACAGTGTGGTGGAATGGCTTATAATTAAACAGACTATCTTTTTGACCACCTTTAATATACAAATGTGACTACAGCTCTCACCAACTCTGGACAAAGGTCTGTGAACCTGAAGCTATATTTTAGTAAAAAAAACCCCAGTATGCAGTGATGTCGTGTGTGTGTTTGTGCACATTATGTGTACTGTGTATATTTTGCAAGTAGGTAATTCACTGAAATTGCAAGTGTTTCAAATTAAGTACACTATCCTTTGCCTAGCCTTCTTTTTGTGCTACTACTTTCTTTGTATATGAAATATGTATTAAAAACTAATTAGCTGTACTAATAGAATTTGAATGTTTCCGTAATTGAATGGTTTTTCTATTACACTTTACATTCAAACAGAAAATAGAATAAAAAATTGTGTGTAGAATATTGTTGAAAATAAAAATGAACTGGGTAATGACTAGTACATGTATTAAACCAAAGAGACCCAAAGTACAAAATTAGGTTTTTTTCAAATACGTTACAAAATCTAGGTTTACACTTGGGGCTTGTCAGCATAAATGTCCCCTGTGAGTGTTCTATACCTTATGTAATTAAACTGACAACAAAATTTGTCATATATGATTTCCAGACTTTTTTTTTTGTAAATACTGGTTTTTTCACATAATTGTAATGTTGGAAGATACAGCCAATATTTTTAAATTGTTCATCTGTGGATATATTTTTTTAAAAGCTACTTTGGGTTATCATCAGGGTGCCCTAATGGAAAGAGAAGGAAATAAAAAATTGTGAAACCATTGCAAATTTAAAACATGGAAACTTGCTCTAATAAACCTGCATATTTATTTGATCAGAAGCATTTTGGGTTTTTCGCTTGTCTAGATTTTGGAGGGCAAGAAATGTATTTGGTATTACTAAATATATTATACAAAATTCAAAATGTCTTCATTTAGTAAGTTGTGTCCATGAAAAGCTTTAAGGAGTGAATAAAATGAAAATGTTTTTCTGTTACATGTAGTGAATGAGGGACACAAGCAAAGAAGGAACATGCAATCAGCTTTCCACCATATGCTGCTAGTATTGTTAAAACATCTAACTGAGCACTTATTCATGTTCTAGAGGAGTTATTTTGATATTTTTGTTTTAAATACTTATCTTCTGACATAAAACATGATTGAATGGGTGAGCCTGTACGCTGTTGTTTGTATTGGTGTTACTAGAACTCATGCATTTCAAATTCCATTAGATGGCAAACGTGGAGACGATACAGAAGACAGAAAGGATTTTGTTCATTCATACAAGAAACTAAGTTGCCAAAAAGCTTATTTTCATTAATTTATTTTTAAGCTTGAAGGCAAACATATTGTTGGCTCAGAAAAAAAAAACAAAACAAAAAAAAAAACCACCAAAAACAAACCAAAAACCAAAAAAGGTTGGATTTTTTCCCCCTGTATTATCAAGACCAAAATCTACAAGAAGGCAGAAATTCATGTGTGCTCAGTACTTCAAAGACAAAGGTTTGTCTGAACAAATTCTTATAGCCAATTCCAAACTGTCCAGACTGAAGGACCCTGCTGAAGTGCATGCATGCTCCTTTCCAGCTCATGCACATGGAAAGCAGGGCAGAAGAGGGAAAGGCCCTGCAGAGCTGGACGTTGTCCTAGGGCAGATACTGGTGAGCCAGCTTTGGGAAGTGAACACAGGCCTTAGAATAGAGCTACTGCTGAAATAAGTTAATTGTTGCATAAAGAAAAAAAAACTCTTACAGGATTCTCCCAAGCTGAGTTCCCCACTGACAAAAAGGACTAATTACATACAGTGTCCTCTTCTAGAAAAGTGTCTGCACAAATTTCAGTCCCTTGTGCACATGGAAGACCAGGGAGGCAGAAAGACACTGGCTGGAGCTGTAGTTACTCCTACAAGCTAATTTTCCATGTTTTTCTTTAGGAATGGGATTTACTGGAAAATGTATCACTTGCTACTTGGGTAAAGGAATTACAGGATAAGTAAATGGACAGGTTTCAAGGTCCAGGACTAGATCGCAGCTGCTCCACGGGGAGCAGTCCTGACTGGTTCTGGTAACAGTCCCTCACACGAGAGCAGGCTCAGCTGGTAAGTCACACAGAATGGCTTGGGCAGCTATGCGAAAAGCAAGCAAACAGCAATCACAACTAGTTCCTGCTGAGCTTCGGTAGAGCCAGCCAGAACAGGTCTGCCTCTCTCAGGACTGGTCCTGCAGAAAGCCCTGGATCCAGTTCAGTGTTAATTAACACTGTATCACTATTTTGGTACAACTGCTCAGTAATTTGCCATGCCTTAGTATAAACTTGCTTAGAGTAACAGTTTACATGCAAATTAGCCTTAGTTCTCCGTGAGGACATTTTCAGCTGAATTCTTGATACAGTCCGTTGGGTTATTTAATTTATGAAAAGCAAGGCTGTGAGGCCTCATCAGGAGTGCAAAGCTCTCTCTTCAGCTCTATGGCGAGAGGACTGGCAAGCCTCTCTAGTTCTAGGTGGATAAAGGTGTTGCTGGATATGGGTGAGCTTTATTCCAATAACGGAAGAATCTCTTGCACAATCCCAATATTTTTTCCTATTTCCAACACTTGTTTTTCCAGGGGGGTGGATGGAAGAGGAGGCTTTGGGATAGAGCCCTTTCTCAGTGCTCTGCAAGCAAAAGGCGCCTGAGCTATCCATCCTCAGTTCAGGGTAATGATGATTATCTCTCTCCATAAATTCTTGCAGGACACATGGCTAAGAAGTACTGTGTACAAGTTCAACATTCCTTTTCAAGCACAGCATTGGCAAAGCAGTCTGTTGGTGTCCCATCAGCTTTTAGACCTTTGTATCAAAATATGGCAAAATTGTCATTGGCTCTCCAGGGCACAAAGCCCATTCTGGAGGATGTGGAGCAGACAGAGACTGGCAGCGACTGTTCTTCCACTGTTACTGCTGTGATTGCCCCTGCCATAGTCTGTCCTGACCCTGGTAATGATGGCAGCAAGAATGGGGACAGGGATCACAGGGGCAGCAGCAGACAGGGTTGTCACTAAAGCAGATTAATTTCAAAGTGCTTTTGGAAGGAGGAATATGGATCTTATAAAAAATCCACAATGAATTTTGGGAGAGAGATGAACTGGTGACTCAGACAGCAAATAAAACATTTGATCTCAAAGGTTATTTGAAAGTATCAAAATGCTTTCCATTTTTTAAATTTTAAGATA